CATCATACACCACTCATCATACACCACTCATCATACACCACTCATCAGACACCACTCATCATACACCACTTATCATACACCACTCATCATACACCACTCATCAGACACCACTCATCAGACACCACTCATCATACACCACTCATCATCCAGTTAGCTCTAGTTTCAAGAGCTCTAGCTCCAGTTAGCTCTAGTTTCACGAGCTCTAGCTCCAGGTAGCTCTAGTTTCAATAGCTCTAGCTCCAGTTAGCTCTAGTTTCAAGAGCTCTAGCTCCAGTTAGCTCTAGTTTCAATAGCTCTAGCTCCAGTTAGCTCCAGTTTCAACAGCTCTAGCTCCAGTTTACGTGGCAGGCACAGCACTTTGTGAACCTCCATGTGCAGATTTCGTGGCAGGCGCAGTACTTTGTGAACCTCCATGCGCAGATTTCATGGCAGGCACAGCACTTTGTGAACCTCCATGCTGCTCCGAACCTCGACGGGGAAGCTCCGCGGAACGACGGTTGCGAGACGGTCTCGGGTCATGGTCGGATCATTCTCGGAATAGTCCCTCCAGTGTGGTTAGAGTTTTCACTTGTTTCTTGACGCGCAGATGTCGTGGCAGGCGCAGCATTTGTGAACCTCCATGCGCAGATTACATGGCAGGAACAGCACTTTGTGAACCTCCACGTGCAGATTTCGTGGCACGCACAGCACTTTGTGAACCTCCACGTGCAGATTTCGTGGCAGGCACAGCACTTTGTGAACCTCCATGTGCAGATTTCGTGGCAGGCACAGCACTTTGTGAACCTCCATGTGCAGATTTCGTGGCAGGCACAGCACTTTGTGAACCTCCATGCGCAGATTTCATGGCAGGTGCAGCACTTTGTGAACCTCCATGCGCAGATTTCGTGGCAGGCGCAGCATTTCGTGAACCTCCATGCGCAGATTTCGTGGCAGGCACAGCACTTTGTGAACCTCCATGCGCAGATTTCGTGGCAGGCACAGCACTGTGTGAACCTCCATGCACAGATTTCGTGGCAGGCACAGCACTTTGTGAACCTCCATGTGCAGATTTCGTGGCAGGCACAGCACTGTGTGAACCTCGAGGTGCAGATTGCACAACTTTAGTACGCGGAGCATCAGCGGAGCTGGAAGATGAGAACTGGCGACTTTCTAGTACAACTTAAGTACGCGGAGCACTCTGTGGAGCTGGAAGCTGAGAACTGGCGACTTTGTAGTGCAACTTTAGTGCGCAGAGTATCTGGGGAGCTGGAAGATGAGAACTGGCGACTTTCTAGTACAACTTTAGTACGCGGAGGAATCTGTGGAGCTGGAAGCTGAGAACTGGTGACTTGGTAGTACAACTTTAGTACGCGGAGTAGGCTGGGGAGCTGCAGGCTGAAAACTGGCGACTTTCTAGTACAACTTTAGTATGTGGAGTATCTGGGGAGCTGGAAGATGAGAACTGGCGACTTTCCAGTACAACTTTAGTACGCGGAGCAATCTGTGGAGCTGGAAGATGACAACTGGCGACTTTGTAGTACAACTTTAGTACGCGGAGTATCTGGGGAGCTGGAAGATGAGAACTGGCGACTTTCTAGTACAACTTTAGTACGCGGGGCAATCTCTGGAAGCTGTGCACTGGCGACTTTGTACTACAACTTTAGTACGCGGAGTATCTGGGGAGCTGGAAGATGAGAACTGGCGACTTTGTAGTACAACTTTAGTACGCGGAGTAGCTGGGGAACTGGAAGATGAGAACTGGCGACTTTGTAGTACAACTTTAGTACGCGGCTGAGTCATCTCTATTGCTATTTTGCAAAATGCATGAACAACGTCTTTTCCTGCGAGACAGTTGACGGTGGTTGCTTCGCTTTCGCTCCATTGGTCGGTTCCAACTTGTTTTGTCAAAGAACATCGCAACTCGGCGAATCAGCCTGCCACATGCCCATTTCCTATAGGTTTATTCTTTTGGAAACTTCCGCCGCCGGCTTGCCCGGGAACTACTTGTATTATGAGCGTGTGTGGGCTGACAAGAATCAAAACAAAAGCACTGGGAAGCAAATCTTGAGAGCCTTCTGTGTCGATGACCAGCATGTCCCGGCCGTTCTCGCGGATGTTCACCCAGCCGCTTGGAGGGCCCCTCATGGAGAAATCGGTGAAACTCAGCCGGTTCCCGACCACCTGCACCTCTTCGACCACAGCTCCCTGTGGCAGTGTGCCAGGGAAGATGGGCGACGTCTCCGAAACGCCCTGCCACACTTTCAAGCCATCCTTCGGAGCTCCCACCACGCGCCAAAAGCGGCCAGGCCGGGGCAGCTTGCCATCCCCCGGCGATTTGAGGGGGATCTCGGGCGCTGGCGCCGGCATGGGCCGCCATTTCTCCTCGCCTTTCTTTCGCTTGGCAGTGCCATCCAAATCATCTTCCACCGCGGTGGGCATCACCACACTGGGAACCGTCTTCTTCTCCACCTTGGGATTCACTGCAAAATCAGAGTTTCAGTTTCCGCTCCCATGTTATACAGCAGGAGTTTCCACTTCAAACATGACATTCAGCAGCTCTAGTCTAGCAAAACTGCCTCCCAAAGCCTGGGCTTTGAGACAACTGAGTCTTCCGCATGCTTTCGCTCCATTCGAACCTCTTATTCTCTTATTCTCTTATAATATATGTGCAGCGGTCGAGGAGGTCCGGTGCGCATCCGAATCGCACGGGTTGAATGCCCCCCTCCCCAACCTTTTAAAAGTAAATTGAGGCAGCAAAACACCACTTTCTTGAGCAGGGATCCATGATCCATCTCGCGCAGGGGATCTCGCACAGGGGGTCTCACGAAGGAGGTCCTGCAAAGGGTAGGTTTTTCTGCCAGCTTCGCCACTTCTCACAGCTTTGCCACTTGGGTCGGTTTCGCTTCGCTCCGGTCGCATGTTCCGGACCTTTCCCTCCCCGCGAGTGCTGACCACTATCTAGTGCTACCACATGCATCCACATGCTACCACTATAGTGCAACATCCCTCAACTGAGGCCTCCACCTTGAACAGAAGCTCTGTCCTGCCATCCTTCACATCCACCCAGCCAGTGTAGGGGCCTCGCCCTGAAAGCCGGATGAAATGCAGGCGGTTCCCCTTGAGCTCCTGTTCTTCCACGACAGCACCAGTGGGCAGAACCTCTGGGAGGATTCGAGAGTACTCCTGCAAGCAAATCAACAAGAGCAAGTCCAGGGTGCGACAGCCAGCAGATTGGACAGGATAATTTTGCAAACGAATCTCCAAACACAAAAACACGATACATCCTATAGGAGCAATGTAGGACGATCCCAAAAGGAAAACGGTTTTGGTATATATTGATCATGCATGCATGTATGTATGGAGTTGCAAATATGTGCATGATTCTGTATGACCAGCAACAATGAGAGTTTGCAGAACAAATTGAAATATAGTAATTACAAGAATGTACTGGATGTTTTTGACATTAGCACCAAGAGCTTCAGTCTAGCGTGACTACAGCAAGAACCAATATATCTTTCCTGAAACATCTGCGGGTGAACCAACCACCTCCGCGAGCGAGTGCGTGCTCGCTCGTGAACCGTGAACCACCGCACATTGGGCCCATTCGCCCTCTCGCGCGCCTCGGGGCCCTCTCGGGCGATCAATCCATCTTGGCCTCCAAGCACCTTCCACCTCTGGCCCTTCACCATGGCTCAACCGCTTTCCGGTTTCGGCGGCTTCCAGCTCGCGGCACTCGCGCAGCCCGCGGCGCTCGCGCAGCCCGCGGCGGGAGATGATGTTCTGATGGGCAGTCCAGCTCGGGGTCTGGGCTCCGAGGTCTAGGGCATCTGGGTTCTCGAAAAAGGTGTATTCAATCGGAGTGTTGTACCAGGGCCCTTATATTTGTGACCACCTTTCAATAATTCAAAGTGGGTAAAATCATGAGTGTTTTCAGAAGTTGGACGATTGTTTAGCTGAACACCATCGCACTTGAACCATGCTTTTGAGTTTTGCTTTTTGCCTCTCTGCTTTTAAGCCATGAGGTTCTGATACGCAGCGAGTGACCCTGGAAAAACTTGACCTGCTCCAGTAGCTTGTGACCAATGCCCGAACAAAATGCAGCCCCAGAACCAGAACCTTCTGCAACTGGGCAGCTTGTATCGAGATGCAAATGTGGAGAAACTCGGACACAGAACTGCACACACCCTTTACACGGAACCAACACTTGCTGAGTGCTCGCAGTGACAGGATGTCATCCCCTTTCATTCCCTTTTCCGGCTATGGCGAATGGGGCGCAAAAATTTGCATGCCAGGTGTAGTAAGTAGTAGCAGTAGCCGTAGGCAGCAGTAGGAGTCGCAGTGGCAGTAGCAGCAGTCGGCCCTGCGCCCAATCTGCAAGCTTACACGCACGCCCGGTCGCAATAGGGCCTTCTCGATGGATGCAACCGCCATGTTGAAGGTGTCAATGACCTTGCGTTCGGTTGGTGGTTAAGAGATGTCAAGAGTAGAGAGCTGCACCCTGAGAGAAGCCCTGCAGAGTAGATAAGCGGCCCTCCTCGAAACAGTGAAGGAGAACTGCATAGAACCACTGGAACTTGTAGTGCTCATTCAGGGCTTTATGCGGTGTTATGGCGTTATTACATAATATTATCAGCTTAGATCAGCTTACGGGAATGCTGCTCTCACAAAGGTAGGGTTCGCTACTGCTGTCATAGTGCCTGCCTTTGCAGCCAAGCAAAGCGCCCGGCAAAGCAAAGACCTATCTTCCTCTGACAAAAATGCACTGCTGTTTAAATAGACTCTGACTTTCTATTCACTTCTCCGATTGCTTTCTAAACCCTGAAAAGAGATTCTGCACTCCACCTGCACTCCTTCAATTCTCCCCACTCGCCTGTCGCACATGCTCCTCCAGCTGGCCCTTGTCATGACGTAGCCGCGCCTGCGACTCCACGTTCACCGCCTTGTCACCGGTGCTGGCTTTGGCGGCTGAAGAACGGTGCCAAAGAACCCACGCGCCCTTTTGATGAGGTGCTGGGAGAGAATCCGCAAGAAGCAGCATGTGGCATGGTGGGCGTGTCCAAACATCGAAAACAGACAACCCAAGGTCTTCGCCTGCGACAAGAGATCACTTTCACCTGACTCCTGGAAAGGCTCGAAGTGAGAATTGGAATGGCGCTTGAATCGACACTTCAGCCTGGTTCCGTCTGTCACTCAGTTACTCCTGAGAGGTCAAATATTGAAGTTCGTGAACTTCAGCTCTGCTCAACAATCAAGGTACCACGGGGAGTATGAAAGGCATGGCGGGTATACGAAGGTTGGGTCCACACGTCTCAAAAAGCTGTGCACCGTAGGACACATGCGAAATGGATCTCCCGTCACTCCAGTCCTGGAGCAACTTGGCCCGCCTCAGCAAGAAATACACGGCGATTCTCCGCACTTCTCAGATTCGGTATGCCGGTATGCCCAACGATTTTCAGCCAAACTGCAGTGGTGCAGTGTCTCTTTGGACTATAGAACATTGATACATTGAAATCAGTGATATCAAATGGAAGCCGAAGAAGCCCCCTGAGCCTCCGCAATTGGTGGGAATTCACCTGAAAAAAAGAGAAAACCCACGTGCAGGCCAGGTCACAAAGTGAGGCGACCCACACGACGGGCTGCTAGCCTCAGAGTGGCTCTGAAGCAATGATCTATCCGGGCACGATGAAATACACTCCCTGGAACTAGAAGTAGATGGCATGGCCCCTTGGATAACCATACTCTATACACAGTTTGGTTTTCCACTTCCATTCTTTCAGGGAGTGTAAGTACCAATGTGAAAATCAGGACCCCCTAAAGGCCACACTTCTTCTACCCTTCTGAGCAGGGCTTTTCCCTTGGTCAGCTCGAGTTCCCGAGTCGACATGGTGACGCACAAACAAGAAGTGACAAACAAAAGTTGTGCGAAACTCGGAATATATGTTGCATATGTGTGTATGTTGCAGTGTGTTTTTTACATGGTAAAAAATTGAAGTTGCGGCAGTTGTCGCAAAACGATCGCATCATGGATTTCACGATCACGAGCGCCCCAAGGCCCTAAATGGGGCCCTTGTTGATCCTCCCTTCACTCGAGCAGAGGTGTAGCACCTCGAAAGTGGGCCTTCTTAACCTTAATTATTCCAGAACTAAAAGCCTCCTTGCTACTAGTAACGTAGCGATGCCCTTTGTTACTAGTAGTTGTTGCTACCAATAGCAAGACTTGCGGAGCCCAGCTTGGTCTCATAGCGCATACGATGGACCTGCAAGGCCTGTAGATTCAGCCGATTCATATCGAAACTTCTAGACGCAGTCTACTCGTCAATGTAGAAAAACAACAAAGATATGACTACAGCTTCGTGCTACAGGTCACCAGCTCCGTGCTTGCACGGTTACAGTACTGCGAACAGTATAGATTGAACCCTCCGTGCTTGGGAATTTTGCTCTGATCCCCTTCTGTGGTCTCAGGGCAGCACGCTGCCCTGCCACTAAGGGGCATCGAAGGCTGTGAGGCGACGCCCTGCACGATGGCACCATCGCCAGGTGGACGACGCAGGTGTGGACGCCACGTTGCGAACGAAAAACATCCAAAACGTAGGTGTTTCCATGGTTTACCATCTGATTGAACAAATCCTGTTCCTACTGTTTAGCATGCGGAGTTCCCTCATATGAGGAGCAAGTTTTGTCGAAAGTCTAAGTATAGGCACCAAAAATCATTTGAGGTACTCAGGTTTAGAGGACGTAAATTGAGATGCGTCCAGTCTTGATCTTGCTGAGTAAGATGCTGAACTAACCTGTTCCACAAGTTCAAATCAGGATTACCGGCCGGAATTCGCATTGCTGGCCCTCTCTGACAAACGTTCTCCAAAGGAAGAGGCTTCTTCAAGTCAAACCCGAATCATCAGCTCGCACGTCAATATCTTCACCGTCCGCAACCCGTAAAAATCCAAAGTCAGCCGAGCAAGAATGCCTCATCTTGGTTACATGAAGAACATGATGCTACAAAGCCCAAGAGCAGTTCCAAAAGTCTAAACACCTTTGAAACAATTAGGAAACGCCTTTCTCAGGCGTTCCAAACGGAGGTTTTGAAAGAAACCCGTTCGGCCCAACTCACCGCCGAACTCGCCGCTCCAGCCCCAGTCCGCTAGACAAGGCACGTCGAAGATCCCGGCCTTGGCCTTCTTGGCAACGGAACTTCTCTTGCCTTCTCGCCAGGGGGGACCACGAGACAGAGCAAAAAGGGGCTCTGTAAAGACGCCGAAGCAACACATTACGTATGTGCTGTTCATGGTTGCTGCAAAGCCTGAAAAACAATAATCACAGGAGACTGACAATAGATGAGTCCGCTTGGATCAAACACAGTGCCATGGCAATCTTTTTCACAAAACTAAAATCCAAAAGTGCATGTGCGGTGGTTCATTTCACCCTTTCCCTGCTTCAAATGTGACATCCTCGGCGCAGTCCTGCTCCCTCCGCTGCTTCCTCAGCTGGTTCCTCCTCGCCTGGGAATCCAGGGTTGGAAGGCAATGTGGAAAAGACTGTCCCTGTCCCGCTTGAATTCCTCGTGTATGTAAATGTATATAATATGATATGGTGGGCGGTATGCTGTCTGCTCCTCACAATTCTCTGATTCGACCGTCCAACCGTGCGTGCCTGTGACAATTCTGATACTGTATGTGCTCATGATTGCTCATGAGCAGAAAAGGTTGTTGGCCAGGGTGCTTGTTCATACTGATTCATACTTGTACAAGTACGAGCCGCTCACCCACTTGTTCTGACTCACCCATTTGGTGTCGAAGAAGTCCTGAACCAACGCAGAAAACGCACGTCTCACCTGCTTCGTGTTTGACCTCTCCATCTTCATAGCCTTCCTCCTCGGTCAGACCGGAGAGCTTTCAGCAGGACTTGTGTCAATAAGCAACACAACACAATCAATTCAAGCACCATCAATTCAAGCCTCTTCGTCTTCTTCTTGCTCTAATTCTTCAAGCACCGGTTCCTGCCAACCATAGAAGCTTACAGCTTGTGCAGTGGAGTAGACTTGGACAACCAGAGCAAGGACAACTCCGAAAACATGCGGGCTCGTGTAGATCAAATCATAACATCCTTACCACAAGTGCTGACTGTTCCGGCGGGGACTGTATCATGAATGCTTCAAGTAGCAACATGAACGGCTATGGGTAAATGATGGTACATGATGGGACATTGGTCTACGAAGAAAAACAATACGTTTCGGTCTACGCATCTAGGATCATCTAGGCCTCAACCAGTGCCTCCGCGTCACCACTCGTCACTCGCGCCTCCGCGTCACCTCGAAGTTTGGAAGCGAAGGCCTGAGAGGCTTTGGGTTGGGACCGGACCGGCTCGTCTACGTTGACGCCGCAGAGGTCTAATCTTATTGCAGGACCTCTTTGGAGCGACCACACGCAGGTGATTTGCAACGCAGAAGTTGGTCTCCAGAACCGTGCTGCAGTGATAAGTTAGGAACCTCTTTTTCTTTCAACAAAACTGCCGCCGACTTAATTACAACTCTTGAATGATTGATAACACAAGTTCCATCAATGTCCCGCTTACATAGCATGAATCTGCTTACACGATCTTACACAAGCCAGTGAGCAAGGCTTGCGCGAAGGAGCCAAACATGACACAACCGCGTATGCTCTATGTCTCAAAGCTCTTCCGGAGACCTTTGCTCATGTGGCCACCAAACATGTTCATGCCATCTGGGTGTTTCTCAAAAAGTGAAACTTCAGATACCTTTGCTCTGGGTGTTCCTGTGATCTGGGTGTTGCTCACTTGCAACTTCAGTCTGAAGTTGGGGGAGCACGGCTTTGTTAGGCCAGTGCCAAAGCATCGGCACTAAAAGAATACAAATGTCACATGTCGCAAACAAAAAATACACAGTCAATCTGATTCATGTCCAGTACAGATCCGAAGTCTGACTTCCTTCCTCCAGGATTACTGCAAAGTCAAACATTAATAACAAGCCAGCCACCCCGTTGGAAGAAGGGGCAAAGTCCAGGGCATCGTCCAGGACATCGTGCCTTGATGTCGGCGGTTTGCAGCTCAAAGCGAGTCTCAGGGAATTCGCAAGGCGCACCTGAATCCAGGCTCAGCGTCTCCGTAGATCTAGCCTCTCCCAGCCCTCAAAACCCCTCGTCTTGCAAAGCAACATCAAAGCAACAGGATAAGAAGCACAGGTCATCGGGACCGAAACTGAACGGAAAAGCGGAGAAGAGACGGCCTGACCATGAGAGCTTAGACTTGCAGGTCCCCCCCGCGGGGGTGGCATATTCTCGTTCTACGTCAATGACAGTGTTGAACCACTCCACGTCACGTTGAATAACTCGCCACTCGCGGCGTCGATGATGCTAAGATATGACTAGGTTGGTTGTCATTGACGGACCCTGCGAAGAGTTCCCACAAAAAGAAAAAGAACTGCTGTACAGCTGTACTATACTTGCTGTCTGCATTTGTTGTGATTGTCACCAATTATATAATGTGTAATATAGATATAGTAGATATAACTTTATTGATATAATTACAGTAGGTAGAGCCTAGAAGTCCAAAGACTACATGTTGATACATTTTGACCGACTGAAGTAAAGGAAGTTCCTTTGTGGGTCACCTAAAGGCCATTCTTCTTATAGTCTTTGACTCCCAGTGTAGATGATGATATATAGCTGTATATGAATGTCATTACACAACGACGAAACTTTTCTCTCACGGCCACCCACGGCCTGGCCTGGAGGGTTCTCCAGAATGCCTACCACCCAAGCCGTCGTGGTGCCTCGCGGCATTTCGCATCTTCAAGCACTGCAGGTCGTAGCTTCTTGATAGTACTCTCCCTGGAACTAACATGTCCCTGGAGAATTGCCATGTTAGTTGCAGGGAGTGTAGATCCCCAGGCCTGAAGAGGTTTTACACTCCATGTCTGGCGGGGTTGGATTCATCAAGAGTCGACATTGGCTAATGAATGACGAAGGGTATTGCAGTCTTTGAACTTGAATAGTTGCTTTGCTGTCTACTTAGTTCACAATGAAGGAAAGGCGTGTGCTTTGCGTGCACCAGGTTTGTACAATCCAAGTTGCCCATATTGGATTGTCTCCTGTGTCCCAGAGTGCGCGCCTAGCTGCTCATCAATCTCCGCTAAAGCTTGAAGGTCACGTTGCACCTGGCAAAGGAAGGCTTCCACTAGACGGAGCACCTAGCTGTCCTGAACTGAAAAAGGAGATGACCAAAGAGGACCAAAAATGAACCTTTTGTTTGACACTTGAATACACACAATATACTATAGCACATCCAACATTACCACGCACGCAACAAATCAGTCAAATAGTGACCACTTGGACCTGTTGGGGAGAAAAAAGAAACTCTAATTTACCAATTTAGATTCTTAGATGTAAATTCATTGTAGAACTAATGATAGAAACCACACGACATCAATGCTCAACTCGCAACCCCGATTCCGTTCCTTCAGGCTGCGCCGCTCCGTCCTCACCACCGCCAAGTCCGCACGTCCGCGCGCCGCTTGGCGCCGCGCCTCGGCACGGACCTGTTGCCGGAAGTCCCTCAATGCCAAGACCTGGAAACGGACGGACTTTGGCACATCAAGGCGCGGTGTGTTTGCGCGGACTTCTGGGGACCATGCATTAGACCAGGCGCGGTCTTACACTCCGCCGTTTGATGTATATGACGTGCTTTTTGATGTGTTTCTGACATCAGAAGTTTGGGGTAGTGTTGACTGTTGACCCAAAATTAGATCGACAATATACAGTAATCATCAGTAACCCATTATCCTGAATGGTCCAGTACCCATGGTTCGTGTTCGACCATTTGATGTTGGACACTCCAAAACGAGCCGGCTTCCAATCCCAAGATCAACCGCGGAAACCTCTTGACAGTCTGACTCGTCTGACTGCATGATCATGTGGCACTACAAAGAGATGATGGCATGTTGAACTCAAGATCGTCACCTTGTCTTGATGTTCTTCAAGGGATGGAGGTCCCAGGTCTCAAGTATACGCCGTATACGCCATGCAGCTGTGAACGGCGTGTATGTATCGACATCGAGGTGCTCTCTGGTTGAACTCGGTCTTGATGGCATGAATGGACTCCTCACAGCTGAACAAACCCAAGAGCCAGCCGCTCATAAGATCTTCAAGTCAAATACAATGTGGATATACATTGTACGGAAAACATTCAAGCTTGTAATTACAGGATCACAAGAAGAAGGAGAACGGGAATATAATAATAGAAATGAAGGGAAAGGAAACATTGTCATTGAATCGTGTTCAATATCAAGAGAGAAGCAAGAACAGCTCACGGAAGCTCCTCAAGCAGAAACATCTGCCGTCTTTTCTTCTCCGCATTCATGCGTTGGTTCTCCGGTACCTCAAAAGTGCTCGTGAAACAAAACAGGTGGGACGGTGGGACCAACAAGATCCGTCCAGAGACTCAAAAAAAGCGTAGCAAGCGTAGCAAAATAAGACTCTGCAACGAAGCCAGGTTCTATAGACTTCAATGCTTCTGGGACAGCAAGGCTTATCTAAGTTCTGTATTCTTTTGGTTGCCAAAACCACGTAATGTCTGAGTGACACAAGCGGCCGTTGGCCGTACCCCATTGGACAGAAGGATTGAAAATCGAAGAACTTGAAAAAGGTCAGAGGGCAAGGCTCACATAAGATCAAAGCTTACTTCTTGTCTGGCTACACCACAGGAGTTTGACCACGAACAGCATACTGCACAAACAGCACCTGCCTGGTAGTCTTCGCTGGTCTTCAGCATGTAGTTCCCCAAGGTTGCCTTCAGGAACAGGGAAGCTCAGCTGCGGCATGCTGCAGCTAGAGTATCTTGAGTTGGGAAGCAAGGTCAAGAACACCTGGGATATGGGTCAAAATCCCACTCTCTTCTCCAGCCCCAAGAGTACAGTCCACCACAAGTGTGCACCAATGCAGCAGTTTGATCAGTTTGACTGTTCTGTTCGTCATCAGTTGATTCATGGCAGATTTCGGCAGATCGCCTCTGCATTTGCAATGGCTTCAAGGTCTTCAGGCGCCTGGCAAGTACCGATCCCCCACACATGCCTTCCTCTATTTCGAGTGGCAGGAGTATCCTGAAGTCTCTATATAGTTGTCCTTTAAAAACTATAATATACTATAATATACATTAATAATATATATAATATATACATATATACATATATTATATACAATACTGTATAATACTGTGTATATATATATATACACACTCGCCCTTCCTCCAGTTCCATGCGCGCTCCGGAAACTGGCACCTCATAGGACTCCGAAGGCTTCGCGCGCTCCAGCTCCTGCATCTGAGCCTTCCGAGCCATCCTGACGGTGCGGCATTGACCGAGCCGCGGGGAGCGAGCGACCGGTCGACCGAGCCGACCGCGACCTTCGCGGTCAGGGCGGGGGTTGCGCGGTGGCGCGGTGGCGTCGTTGAAGACGAGTTCCGCGGGACATCTGCAGTTGGGACGGCCAGAGTTGGAGAAGTTGGAGGGTCCTCTGCTGTCTTCGCAATTCTCTTTGTTCGGCACCTGGCTGTCGATGGCGCTTGGATGCATAATGCAAACTACACTTGGCACATACTGAGGTGGACCTCATCCAAACTTGATAGCACTTGCTACTTGACTTGCATTAATAAAGTGAAACAAAACCCTGTCCATTGCGCCGAATGTCTGTTGAGGCCCAAGGGCATTTGTTCACAGAACATTCCCTTGGAGCTGGCTGGTCTATCATGCCTATATAACCAACCAAAGCAGTTGGAATTATTTCAGCCCATTCCAAGCCCGTTCAGGAGGTCCTTGGTGGATTCTGGCTTATCGCAATAGCCCATCCCAGAAGGTTCTTGCGAAGTCTTCGGGCTGGGTCCCATAACCACGCTCCCTACGTCCTGAACAAGTACAGCAGATCTCCAAACCAGGCCTGAAAGTGTCTTCTCCGCATTGGGTGAGCCTCAACAAGAATGTGCGAGAATCAAGAAAACTCAAAAAGAATCAATTGGTTCCTAAAGTCCCTAGACCATCCTGCCTGGGTGTCCTGTCAGATCCAATAGTCGTGACCCGGGTAGTGCAGACAGGACATCCAAACAGGACGTCAATGATGCGAAAAGGGGACCCAAGCATCTGATGCTGACAGATGCATCTGATACCTCCTGTCCAATGCCTTCCTGTCCAAAGATGTGGAAATGCAAATGTCACATGGAACATGTCTAAATCTGTCTGTTGCCTAGGCCTGGCGGTGGTTGCTTTTTTAGACCCTCTTTGCTGTCAGAGGATCTCCTTCCTATGCCCTATGTTACCACAGCTCGTCTTGTTCGCACAGTTCGCTCGGCAGTAGTAGCTCGTGGTCCCACTGCCATCTACGTACGCTCGTTCCACAAAAGGTGTTTCCCGCTGGTTCCACGCAAGCGCCCTTCGCCTTGAAACAGGTCTTTTGCCTTGAAACAGGTCGCCTCGGCCCTTCCGGCCAAGCCAACAGGGGCGAGTTCGCCATCCCCAAGGGAAGGTTAGTTGCAGACACGGTTCCGCTTCGCCGCCGCCCTGGGGAACCCGTGCCAAAGCCATCAGTATCAAGGCCCAGCTCCATCTTGTTTCCTAGCAGCTTCGATGAAGGCTGGGCAGCTTCATGCTGAAAAGGTCCCTTTGGTCCCATCATTCCTCTCATAAAGCCCTCTTTGGTCAAGCTCTAAATCTGGCCATATCCTGTGAGGACCAGAGGATACAAATGGATACAGTATCAATCACGATGACATCGAGCGTCGAGCCTCGCAAAGTGGACTTCCCATCGAAGCCGAAACCATCTTGGTTCTCCTCGTCCTCGTCCTGTTCGATGAACTGTAGAAAAGGCTCCTGCTTTATGACCTGATGCCTGGGAGATTTGGGGGATGCTCCTGAAGATCCTGAATGAGAACGAAGCTGGTACCAACATCCTCTGGAGGTTCAAGACATTGGCATCAGTGGGAAATTCACCTGGGGCCAAGAGTCCAAGCCTTCTGGGCTTGCCACTGGATGCCACTGGTGAGGTAGGCATATAACAGAACTAGGTGTATAACATGATACTGTATATTGATGTGTATAACAGAGTTGTATGAATTATGTATAATATCAATGCATACGTCCGTATTTTTGAGTATCAAGTTGTGCAAAAAAGAACAGGCACGATAATTGATCATGAAGTCCAAACAAATGAATCATCCTGCATCCCGTCCTCATCGCCATCTCCGTCCCCGGCCGCGAAAATCAGCTCGTGCAACCTGGGAACCAGCTGGGGCAATTTGCAAGTATGATGATTATGATATATGATCCATAATGATATTCATGAAACCCTCAATGATGAAACCACGATGAAATATGATTAAATCTCAGAAAATTCCTATGAATTCCCATCAGCTAAGGATCCATCTCCACCGTTTTGAGGCTCAAAATCCATCACTCCTGGCTCCTCTCCCCCAAAGCTCTCCGCCTGGCGAGGTTCGCCTGCAACTCGCCGGACATCTTGGCACAGCGGAAGGTGGAGACCCGGTGCTCCGACTGGAAGCCCAGCACCTCAGACCCAGCGGAGCCGGAGGCGAGCGGCGAGAGGATCAGGTGGTCCAGTTGGTCGCAGTTGGTCCCAGCATCCCTGGTGGATAGATGGGTTTCATATGGTTGCATAGAGGTTTCATGCATCCCCATTTCACAGAGCCACAATCACCCGGGATGTTCATGCGAACTTATCTTCGTGCCATGTGTGACTGCCCGTCACGCCTCGATGCGCTCGAAGTCCACGTGCTTCAGGTAGTAGTCTTTGAGCTTTTGAAGGCCACGCTCCTGCGACGGTAGCGGTCGGTCATTCGATGGACGTGCACGTGCACCCTGGCCCCTGCGAACCGGCCTGGCCTGTTGACGAATTGTTTCGGTATAGTGGATTGAGAGTTTTCGGGTGGTGCCATATCCCCAAGTTGGGTGGTTTAGATGGACCCCATCTAAAACTTAGGGTGCCAGTGCCATGTACAGTATATCCTGAAACCACTGTATAATAGTATCTGCTTCTTGGGCTCTTTGGCCTAATCGTCCATCATGGAAGGCAAATGTTACGACAACGTCTGACTCTCCACCTTCCCTTGCCAAGTCGCATGAAATTCCACCGACCATGCAAGCTCGAAGCGAACCTGGTAGAGGTGAGCAGCTCGACGCAGCTTCCCGGCCCGAAAATATGGATCGAGGATCGTGAGTGATTGAAAGGATATTGATGGATGTTGAAACTAATGCCGTACTACTAGGAGCAAGGACGCTACTAGGGTCTCCCACCAGCTTGAAAGGCCCCACACAGCTGCGGCCGGACAGCTGGTGAAGAAGTGGCTGGCTGTTTGCCAGGTCAAATGTGAGTTGCACAATCCATCCCGCGGGTGATGGATTTAGCTGGTTCCACCCCCAAACCGATCCAGTTCCTGCCTGCTCAATCTGATTCTCCATATCTTCTTTCAAATGATTGATGTACCTGGAACGCTTCCACCATCTTCCAGCTCTTCTTTGGATTCTGCCAGCTTCAGAGCCAAGGTTTGAAACAAGGATCATACTATACTCCCAAGATCTGTAGCAGGCGTCCTGGTGATGGACCATGAGAACCATGCATAAAGCATGATAAAGCCCCCAAACACCCGGCGATGACCCACCAGCTCATCCTTGTCTTCAGCTCCAGTCGCTTCGCACGCCTCCCATGTTCGCCCCGTGCCTCTGAGTTCGGTCGCTCCGGTCGCGCCGTTGTTCGCTCGGCGGAGGCACTCTTGGTCCACCACCATGTCGGCCTCCGAGAGCTGGGCCTCGTAGAGCTGCCCATTCTTGGCCTCAGACATGCTGGCTCAGTGGGTGGTGCCAAGGGTGCCTTGGCTGGAAAAGAACCCTTGGAAGAAAGAATGGAAGTGGAAACACCCCGAGTTCCTGGCAGATTTCCATGGTCCTTTTCCGGGGGCCATGCCATCCACGTAATTGTTCCAGAAAGGCAGGATCTCCTAACGGATCTAAACGGTGGGAGCTGAGATGCTTCTACTTTCGGATTCCCTGCGATCTCACGTCTACGTGCGCGCGTGACGAAACGAGTGCCGCGTGCCGCGGTGCCGCGGTGAGTCTGGTGCAGCTGGGTCACCTGGAGTTCCACCAGCTCGTTCCGGATCTCGTTGATGCGTTCGCGGACGCCTGGGAGATGCGAAACGGCTTCGCCACGGCCGCACGTGGAAAGCGACGCCTGGAGTCGGTGAGAGATGCCTCCGTCCGATCCTTTAGGCTAAAGAGTTCCTCGAGCGGACCGAAGCGAAACGGCTCTGATTTCCCCCAAGTTAGAAAACCAGACACCTTTCGCTCTCGAAATATCGATCAAAGGCTCGCACTGATCCTTGCGGCTTACAGCCAGTGATTGTCTGAGGCTTACAGGTCAGGATGGTCAGGTGTAGGTTCTCAAGAACCCAACTTCTTCAGTTCAACCATTCAACCTCTGGTCTTCGGAAGAAATCCGAATGCAAAGGCAGGGTCATTGGAGGTGTTGATGTGTTTTGGAGGTTGGAGTTCTGAGGTTGCTGGGGTTCCCGGGCGGAGCTTCTTCAGCTCCGCGGCTGCCTTCGCACTGTCCTCCTCGGCCTTGAGCTTGGCGTCCTCGTCGGCCAAACGAAGAGCGTTGCCAAACAGATCCGAAGAGCGCCTTTCCAACGGTGGGAGACACGTGATCCGGTAAGGATGGACCCAATCCTGATTCTGGGGAGAGGATCACCGGCGAGTTTGAGATGGACCCCCGGCTTGGACCCACAAGTCGAGTCATGACCTACGATGTCCTTGTATTGTCATTCGTTCCAAACTCGGAAACTGATAGGTCATTCCCGTGCATCACAACATCTTACCTGATGCTGAAGGATGGATGATCCACCAAAGGCAAACCACGTGGAATTGTTGGGCCACGGCAGGCGAACATGGCAAACAACGACCAGTGGTCGAACCACCGATCTGAGCTTTGCCTGGGACTTGTTTCAATTGCACAAAGATGGCACAAGTGTAGCAGTCAAAGCGTTGGCATCTCTCAAAAGGACTTAGCAGTCATTTGCTGTCTCAGCAGGAACTCCTGAATGGAATACTGGTCAGCATCAACGATGTCCGGATTGATGGCCAAGACACCTGCAGGCGCCACAGGAACAAAAAAGAGCCCTGAGCCCCCCTGACGAGCCCCTGACGTTTTGAGATCAATTCTAGAGCCCAGGTTTGAAGTTGTTTCCGGCGTCATGATGTTGAAGTCAGGTGTGGAAGTCCAGGTGGTGTGTCAAGTCCTTAGTTCGTGCGTGGGTGTGCCTTTAAACAATTGAATCTTGAACCCTCTGCGATTGAACCAGTGTAGGCCTACTCTCAAATCTTGTCTGGTGGTGCTCAGGAACCTCTACAAAGCGATCCAGTTTTGCCGGAAACGCTTCACTTCACCAGTGAACCTTCACCCGGCCAAAACCCTCTTTCATCCCCTACTAGCGCAGAACGTCACCCGGCCGCATGTAAACGCAGCATTAGTCAAAAGTCACCCGGCTTGCGAAAAGTCACCCGTTGTATGTTAAAACACAATGTAAACGCTCTACGGAAGTATATTTGTCAAAACTGCTATACATCAAGAATTCACTACCCCTGTGCAGGAAAGAACTAGATTTATGTCGAAGTTTGCAGCGTTTTGGTGACCAAACCCCAATCAGAACGCAAGGTTAGGACTATCGTGAAGATTAGCCCCCTAAACATAGATTGCCTGCACCCAAACCGCATGTAGACGCAGCATCCAAACAATGTTGTTGACCCTACACTCTTCCAGTTATATATATATATTGCCATATATTGCCATCTTGCGTCTAACCCCATTGTAAACGCAGCATCCAGACGACTTTCTACAAGACCAAACGACTTAACACAAGTGCTAGTAGACTCAACCTCACGGTCATCTGTGACCACAGGTGTTTTTTTCAGCACCAGGCGACCTCTTCCACCTTCTCGTGAAAACCAAATGTGACATGTGACATGTGACACTTCTTTGGTCCGACCGGCAGCACTGAGAAAGCGTTATATCATATCATCTTATATCATCTTATATCTGCCTTCAAACATAGGTATCACATACCTATTGGCACTGCCTATTGGCACTGGTATATCTACTAATTATTCAGAAATAGGTACAGTGCCACATGGTACTTGGCTCCAATTCCACTGGGAAACCAGTCCCTGGCACTCGCCCGGCCTGGCGCCTCTTTGGGCGGCAAACTCCAGCCTGACCGGGCCACTCTGGAAGAGCCGAGGGCCGAGCCGAGCCAGTGAGGGGATGAAAGGACTAGTGACTCTATGAAGAGGTCCTTAGATGGTCCAGGGAATCTGCTGAAAGTGCGTGGCTGACAGGTCTTTATGGGTTTCTAAGTTTCTGTCATTTTACTTGACAGATATTGTTTGAATAAACATGGAAACTCATGCACATCTACATCTTGAGCTCGTTTTCCCCCTGCCCACCTCCGCGAAAGTGTGGTGAGTGTTGATTACTTATTACGAGTGGGAATCCCGGTCCGTCCGTCCGGGTTCTCAACAGGATGAAGAAGGAAAGCTCCCGTGGAACGTTTTGCATGTGACAAGCTCACCCTGCAGCTGCACGAGGCGTGCCATACGATCAGCTCGTCTCAAAGCTCGATTCTTGTTTGAACCGCGGTTCCAATAACATGATCCGGATTGACTAAATGACATCCTCAAAGCGATATAGTGGTCCCAAATAGATAGAAACGGTGTCCAATACATGTTGAGTGGGGATCTGCTTTTCTATCTGTTTGGGGAGTCTATATAATGGTAATGCGGGCATTCAGGTCGTGGAGTGTGAATGTAGGCATCAAAAAGAAGACCTCACATCTTTGTTAGCCAACACCACAAAATCTTTCGTGGCATCTTCTGTGGCTAATGAATTGATGTCCCGATGATTAGCAAGGGCCAATCCCCTTATACCGTATACCCGCTAACCAATTCAATGGCGGTGTCAACAACGTGTCGACCGATGATCACAAGCTCGTTTTAAATCTATCATCCTGGAGCTCTTGGTATCTGTCTGCTTGTTGTGCTTTCCTAGATAAGCACTGTATAGCACTGTCGAGTAGACGCTCTCAGTAGACGCTCTTCGCTGTGCAATTTCACCGTGCCTTCCATAGACATGTCAGGCATCTCAGGGATAGCTCCCTCCAGCTCCAGGGCCGCATCGGCCATGTTGATCTGCACCACAGTAACTTTTTACAATCCACATGGCTAACAAATCAATGCAACATCATGCAGCATGCAACTCGAACTGGTCAGAGTGTCCAAATCAACCTTTTTGTTCGCCGCAGAACGTGAAAAAAAGAAACAGTACAGTAGCAGCCGCAACATCACACAGCATCAGCACGGCAATGAACAAGTCCTAGTCCTAGTCGGTCGCACGAAGTGACAGCTTTCGAATCCCAAAGCATTCGATCCCAAAGCTTTTCGAATTTCCATCGCCCTCCCAGTTCGAGTTCATCCTCGGGTGACCGCTCCTCCTTCCCTGAGCTCTTCAGCTCCGCCAACTCCAAGAGGCCATCGGAGACCAGGAAGGTCACCAAGGAGCCGTCCCCCGCCGCCGCACACAGCCTGTGCGCTTGACAAGACTGGCCGGCAGTTGACAGTATATTGAATGTGTATATACTTAATAGTTCTGCAAGTCATCCTTGCCAAAAAAACGTGTGATATAGTTTTCGGATGTTTTCGGAATCCAAGTGAATCCACTCTGACCGTCTTCAACTGGAGCTGAACTCCACTTGGAGCACCGGCATGGACTCGTCTTCCAGCATGGACACAGAGTTCACCTTAGCGACGATGCGACATGCTTCACTGCCCGGTCTCCGGGACGACGCCTCCCTCGGCGTGACAACGTGCGCGGAGACGGGTCGGAGAGGTCGCCCGAGCCGTGCTCGGGCCCCGCACCGCCCCGCTGAGGCCATCGGAGACGTGTACCGAGGCGAAGATGCCACCATGCAAGCGAGGGATGAGCCAGATTCGCCTGAGCCCGAACGGCGAGGTCGAGGGGGGCTGCGGTCGGCGAGGGCAATTACTGAGTGGAATGTATGGAATGTCCGGGTAGGTAAGGGATCGCTTTTGGCCACTTTTTGATGGCAAAAAACAATAGATCTTAACATTCAACAACACCAATATATACTATATACAAAGTTGGCAAAATGTGGGACGCAAGATACAAGTATCGCTTTTGCCATGAACACAGCCCGCAAAAAGTCTCTCCTCATGTTTGGTAAATGATTATAAATTATAAAGGCTTGAACTTGAACCATATAGTTAATATGGCTATAGTAGGGTCAAAACCTGGGGATGTTGGTTGACCACCGAAAATGAAGAGAACAAAATTGAATAGACAGGGGAGGTCAACTTATCGTTGTCAACCGGGTGACCCACGTGCCAGCTCCCTGCACCACCTGCACCTGCACGCCACCGTCTACACCCCCGAAGGCCACGTGGCCCGTCGGCAAAGCCCACGATGATCCAGTTTCGGGCAGGTGAGAGGGACAAATGTGTCACCTGCCCGACGGAGCCACGGTTGGGTGCCATTGGAGGTTGTGGCTGTCATCTGTGGGGATTCTCCGAAATTGCCAGAACTTCGAGATCCTTCAAGTCGTACAGCATTCTGAACTGGTCACTGGTCTTACTTCTGATCTATAAAAGGCTGATATTCATTTATTATTCAGTTATTAATTATTCAATAAAGAGGTCTGCACTCTGGGGAAATCTGACCCACACCGCCTGCACGTTCGGCGGCAACTTTGTGCGGAGAATGCAAGAGACTGTTTGCGGAGTGCACTCCGCAAGGGGCACCTGCAGCTCCAAAAGCACTGGACAATGATCGATGTCTTGGTAGAAGCATAGGCTTGTGGAGTGCTGAGCATGTGTCCTTAGTTTAGACAGACAGACAGACAGACAGACAGACACAGACAGACACAGACAGACACAGACAGACACAGACA